ATTTTCTTGTATAGTCCCCCCGAATCACCAAGTATCAGTACCTCCATTCTAAAAATGAAAAAGTAGAGTTCAAAGACATTAGGTAACTTGTCCAATACCAGTATTCATGGGACATCCAGGGTCTGAATCTTGGCAATTGGCTTCCATTGGCCTCCAGGATCTGGGCAATGGAACCCAGATGGGCATGAAACAATGCACCCTGAGGAAGAATTATGTCAGGGAACTTAAACTCTATCCTAGAACACAGCCTCATGGCTCTCTTTGACCAACAAGATAAATACAGGCAGCCATCAAAAATGGATTATTGTTATCCACCCAACCCTGAAACCCAATCATGATTTGGATTTTAGAACAATTGATGGTTAAAGATTCCTCTGTAATAGCAACAATCAAAGAATCTGAACTGCAGCCACATAACTATTTGGTCAGCATATAGAAAAACAACATTTTTCTGAAAGACCAATGAAGGAAAAGACACTGAGCAAGATGAAAGTCACATGACTTACTCCCAAGATGGGCTTCCAGAATGAATAAGCATGAAATATTAAGAAAAGACTAGATTACTTACCTAAGAAACATAACACAAAAGCTACCCCTCCCAGTCTTACTGGGTGGCACTTATCTGGAGGGACTTCTTTAGAGTCTCTTTCATATAAAATTTCAAAGAAAATCAAACAATACTGAGTATAATGTGCATTCAAACATGAGATCCACTGAAAAATTTAAATTAAAACTTCTCAGTGTTCTTTTCTTACCTTTAAAGTGAGAAGTGTCTTAAGTATATAAATTGTACACCTGAGTATTTGCCTTTCTTCCAGTAATTTACATAGAGAAGACATTCTCTCTAGTGATGAAATGGTATTCATTAAGTAGTTATGAGTGGTAAGTGACAAAGGTTAGGAAAAGAAATAACAGTATTTCTAATAATGGAGCCTGTTGATGTTGAGAGGAAACTCAGAAGATGCCAAGACAAAGGCTTCAAGTAGTAGGATGAATGAAAAAGCATGATGCATTGGCAAGTGTGAATTAGAGAGAGGGCCTGCATTCTATTACCAATTAAGTGCTTACTATTATGAGAGTGAAAAACTCTTCAAAATGAATAAATGGGTTCAATAGAATAGGGATTACTGTTTAAGTAGAACATTCTAACTTTGCTTCAGATCATGGGAATTCTATAAAATCACAAAGGAAAGATTAGGTGAACCAAACAGTTTAATTTAATGGAAAATTTATTTCAAAAGAAAGCTAAAAATTTTCTGTAGTTAAGTGATAGCATTTTAAATTAGGAGATGTTTATATAAAAGCAATGTCTATGGATAAGATTAAGTAGTGAAAATTTTCAGAAAGACACAGAAAAATCTGAGCTAGAGACCTGAGGCAGTTTAGGAAAAGGAACACAGAAAATGTAAGTCTCTCTATAGGAAATAATTAGGATAATAGAATTTGACCTAAATTAAAGGAAAATATTAGACAGTCTTATGAGTTGAGCACAGGAAGACACACACACACTCCTTCCTACTTTAGAAATACCCCAAAGATTGAGATCAAAATGTTACTTCTGTTCCTTTTCTAGTCCAGTTAAAACATGAATTATCGTCCATTGCTGGTAACCAGTTTATACATATTATGGGTTAAATAGAAAAAATCATATTATTTGAGGGTATCATTTGTATGATATATTTATTTAACTAAGTCAGAGTCAGAGGCGCAGTGATTGTTAAAACGAGGCATAGCTTCAAATTATATAGTGTATCATATATGCTAATATGACAAGAAAAGCCAAAGTCTTAACTAGTATTCTCATTCCAAGATGCCCTTATAAACTCTAAACTTTAACCCCCATTCCAGGAATTAAATTATACGGCACAATATTTTCTCAAAATATGAAAGCCTTGTAAATTGTAAAAAGAATAAAAATTCACAATGAAAAATAAAAATTTTCCAATTATAAAGTTTCCTCACAAAACTTCCATTTAGTTCTTATACCTTTATTACTTCATTTAGTCTTTCTTTTTTTAAAACAAACTTGAGTAGTTACAATTGTCTTTTTAATTTAAATTTCTTAAGAAAGAGAATCACAATGTACATTCCTGGACCACATTGTGTGTGTGGCCTGCTTATTTGAAATGTTGGATTCCATATGGATTTCTTCTTTTTTACTTCTAACTTACAGAAAGCACTCTCTCTAACAAATTAGCAACTCAAAGCCAACCAATTTGGAATCCAGGCTCTGAGAGCATGTTACCTCAGGTCTGTTACCTGCAATGTTTTCTAGAAGGACCACAGAAGACAAACGAAGCTAAAACGTCTGTGTGGAGCAAGAACTAAGTGTGAGGCACAAGTCAGTGGTCCACTGAGGTCAGGGTTAAAGTTCACAGAATAATTTGGAATTTATTCTCAGCTTGGATCTCTTTTATGAGGCCCGAGAATACACCCTTTAATTAGAATACAATTTCCAAAGCAGCCACTCCCTTGACTTTCCAGAATTCAGTTATTCTCAGAAAAGTAAAAACAGCCTCATCATACTGACAGCTAACAGTTCTCTATAAATTATGCTTTAAATGCCCAACAAAGAAGGCAGCAGGCATCCGGGACAAAGAGATTTTAGCTGTCAGCCCTCACTAACCACTCTCAATAGAGAAAGAGAAGTATTAAACAAAGTCACTCTCCTTTATTTCTTGCTTATGCAGCTGAGCTGTCCCATGGAAGCCTGGAAAAAGAGTGGGTTGTACATTTGCAAATGTTGGCCTAATTATTTTCTGCTGATCCCTCCATCCAGTCAACCTCACATTACAGTGGGGACACTAAAATCAATTCTGTGAGAGCCAGCTGTCTGCCTCCTCTCCCAGGTAGCTCTGATCCAGAGCCTTCTTTCCAGGGCCTATTGTTATTACAAACGATTTACTGGGCCCCAAAAATGTGCTACACGTTGAATCAAGAGGAAAACACACATCTCCCTAACTGGAGAGTTAAGAGTGACAAACATTGTAGTATATGGAGATGCTCAAAAACCATGAGAAGGGCCAAAGAAAGAAATTCAGGGAGTTGAAATGTAAGGAGCTGTCACAATATCAAACTTTCACATGCTATCCCGGCTTGAGTCAGGTTTAAAGATGACATAAAATTTTTCATTTCATCAAATCCAGATATCAAATCTTCCTGTAAACACAATAAAACATGCCTTTGTCTGGAAATGTGTGACAAGGAAAATAACAAAACAGAGTTTTTGAAATTAGTTAAGAGAATTCAGAGTCCGATGTCACCCACACATTTGGGAATTCTTGCAAGCTAATGTTTCAAGCAGGAGCTACATTATTGTCATTGGCCATTATCTTTTGTATGTCCATACATCTGTCAGTATTCATAGCAGCCCTCTCCAGTGGGGCGATCAATCTCAATCTCTCAATCTCTGTCTCTTCCTCTCCCCTCAATTCCTTCAATGCATATTAGTAGGAAACTAGACAGTTGTTTCCAAATGCTCCAGTGTCCCATGGTACAAGCTTCATCATTATCTCAAAAAAACCTCCACAATTTCACACAATTTACAATATTTTTATCACTGTCCACTTAATCTAGACTGACCATAGAGTAGTTTATTTTAAATTAATTCCCTTTAATTGTATGAATTCTGAAACTAAAATGAACTTAATCAAATAGCACAAAAAATTTAGCACATTAAACAAAACTCTCCAAATCCTTATGCAATAATGCTTACATTTTGATTTTTATCTTAAGAGTACATATTCATGTTTTCTTACTATAGATAGGACTTGGGGAGGGAGTAAATAAATTAAATAAAACACATACTTAAAATTCTGTGACTATGAAAAAAAGGGGAAAACAATCATGCTCCCCAAGGTGGAAATAAAATTATTTCTAAAATATTTTCTAGTTCTCATTAACTCTCTAGTTGTCAGGAAATCACAAATAAAAGAAGTCAGTATCTCACAAAACTATGTTCTACAACAGTAGAATCAACATTTAGATAGATTACCAATACATATGTTTTCAGTAAAATATATGTATTACATATATATATTATTACATATATATGTATATGTGTTACTCGAAATAGCATTTTACTTCATTCTTTGGAGAAAGCAATATAAATTTTGTTCCTTGCTAATTTCTGAGCCTTATTTGCTTTCCATTCCATTCTCTAAGACAAAAATTAAGAAAAACCAAAATAGTTCAAAAATTAAAATAAAACACATTCACTTTAAGAGATTTATTTGAAAGTTTGAAATTTCCTTCAACAGTGTTCTTCCAGGTGTGGCATAGCAGTGATCTTTACATTTAGACATGTACTACAGAGAATAGCTCATTATATGATAAATTTATCTGGAACCCACCTGCGGAAACTTAGTGACCAGAACCTAGATTCCAGAGGAGAATCTGATGGGAAATCAGCATTCTGAATAGCACCCAAAAGATACCAGTATTCCTGGATATTCCCAGAATAAAATAAAAATATGCTAAAACTTTTGTATATATTCTGCACAGCAATCTTAGGAAGAAAATAAAAAGAAACCAAATAGTAATTAAATATATATATATATATATATATATATATAAAACTGTAAAAAAAAAAGTTTGGATCATTTGGCTTAAAAGAAAAGGGACCAGAATCACATTACCAAAGCCCTACTTATTATCCTTTAGATCTGTTTTTATCATTTTAGTTTCACAGTGCACTTAGAAATCGTCTTTCACTTAGTCACTGATCAAGAAAGAATTAAGTTGTGTGCAAATCTCTCTGAGAACTGAGTCCACAATTTACATGTAAATTTTTCTCTCCTAAAGAAAGAATGAAACCTGACAGAGTATTATTTATATACTCATTTTAGCACTGTTTTAAATTCTCATGAATACAGTTTCAAATAAACTCTGAAAACTCTTGATTTATAGGTTTCCAGCAAAATTATATTATACAATTAACTCAGAGCATATCATCACAGTCATATCCCCAAATAACTGCAATTTTCTTTAAAAGTACTTACTTCTGATGAGTTCATCATCTGAACAATTTCCCCAAATGGACTGGTCCTGCATCTCTCCATGTGTGAGGCAGATACCGGTGGCTCGAGTTATACCCCTCTCAGTATTTTCTTTATCACATTTTTCTGAATAAAAATATATTTATTATCATTAAATGTTACATATTTTTCTCTATTTTTTCATTTTATAAATTTTTTTCTAAATGTTTTCAAGTCTGCCAAAATTTAAGAAAATGGGCATGGCACATTAATTGACTTTTGCACACAATGACTCATTAGCATATTTACTGAGCATTTACTTGCCTAGCATTGCAGAAACAGATGTTTACAATAAAAATAATATGTCAAGAATATTGTAAACAAATCATTAGAACATGGCAAGTGACCTGCATGACAGAGAAATGTGGAAAGTTTACATCAAGGATGAAAGTGAGTAAATCCACACAGGTAGAGAGGGTGGGAGCTGCAGAGAAAGCACAAAGAAGGGACTCTGGTGTGGAGTAGAGATGAGAGTCAAACTGCAGTGGAATGGGAATTGAGGAAATACAGAGTTTTCTTCATAGAAACCTGGGAAATAGCCAAGAATTGTGTCATACATTCTCAGAGAGGAAGGGTGTTTAGGATGAGAGATCTATACATGGGTTTAGGAGTTCAGAGGGGGAAAAAAGGAACAGCTAATTGTAAACATAACTCAGGCAAAAAGCAAACTAGAGCATAAGGTAAAATGCATGTTATGAGAAGCCCAAAGCACCAAGGGTGTTTAAAAGACTGGTGAGAATTCTAAAAATAAAGATGGAAGAAAAGCTATTGCAGATAGAAAAACAGCATGAGCAAACTCCAATATCAGACGCTTGGACAATGGTTCCAATCCTGAACTGAAGTACTTTAAGAAGGACTAGGATATAAGACATTAAAGGTTTGAATAGAGACATAGAACAGATATTTTAAATGTCAAGGTGAGAAGTTTGGACCTAATGTAAGAGCAAGACAAATAAGTAAAAGTAGCTATTAAAACTTTATGAATTGCCTAATCAGAGCCATGCACTAGGGAGATTAATAAAATTGTACACACCAGTGGTTCTCAATCCTGACTGTGCTTTAACTCATTTGGTCAGCTTTTTAAAAAACAGATTTCTAGCCTCCATCAACAAAGATTCTATTTCAATTTAGGGGTGGGGTGCTTACGTGATTCCATTGCATTTACATTCTTAAGAGTCACTGAAGTATGGATGTAACAAGGAGAACAAAGTAAGGGAAAAAACCGGAGACTTGCACAGCCCAGGTGGAAGTTGATGAGAGTTTAATTAACTGCATAACAAAATGGAAAAGGGGGTAGATATGAGAAAATAACTAGAGGATTGCACAAATAATTGAGAAGATGGGATTGGAGATGACTGAATGACTGAGTTCTCTTAATGTGAATTTGACTGAGAAAACCTGGAGACCAAGAAAATAACTTACTAATTATATATTATATATATAATGTTTAGGCAATGCTAAGCAGTGGGGATACAATGAATTAGAAGGCACAGCCCAGGCTTTCATGGAGTTTAAGTCTAGTGGATGAGTTTAGTGTTGGATATTTGAATTTGCAAATCACAAATAAAATTATAGCTAGAAATAGTCATGTTCCTAAACTTGATTATGGAAGCCATCCAAATGACAAGGTTCACAGAAAGTGACTACATGAAAAGAAGTATATCAGGTAGAGTTTGTACAATTAGAAAGGATTAAAGAAGAGAAGCTATATGATGTCAAGCCATGGAAGCAAGAAGAGATTCAAACAGAAGTTGTTGGTCAATTGTATTTATATTTCCAATGGAAGGAAAACAATTTCTGCGCATGAAGAATTTTCTCATGTACCATGGGGATTTCACAACAATTAAAAAGTTCTGACGTGAAACACACTTCAACACATGAAAATAGATGGACACCCATATAGGACCAAATACAGTAACAGCTCAAAAAGAAAAGAGGAGGGCAGTTCCAATACTAAGTATTAAAAAAAAAATAACTCTCACTGGTGTGTGGCTCAGTGGGTTAGACATCATCACAAACTGAAAGGTAGCCAGTTGGATTCCTGATCGGGGCACATGCCTGGGTTAAAGGTCAGTTGTAGAGAGGGGCAATGCAAAAGGCAGCCAATTGATGTTTCTCCCACATGCACGCAGATGTTTCTCTACCCCTTTTCCCCTCTGTTACCCTTTCTCAAAAGAAAAATTAATAATTTTTTAAAACAGCAAAACCATATTCAAATAGCAATAAAATATAAATTAGAAGCATGCTAAAACAACAGTTTTAGATTAATGTAACATCTACTCAGCATTATGGTAAAGAAAATGTAATCTTCCTGAGAGATGCTGGTTTCAGCTAAAATCTTGACTTTTTTATACAACTTCAGATATGTTTTCACTACCACAGTCAACTCAAGGCCCTTGTGAGATTATCAACAGAAAAGACATTTATACAAACTCACTGTTACACGTGAAATCTCTCATCAGCAAAGCCCAATATTACTTGCTGTTAGTGTCATGTAGCTGACTGCCACCAGGTGTCACGCTAGTAGGCTTAATTCAATTAGTAACTTTAATTGAAGCAGAATCAAATTAATTATATAATTTTGAGCTGTTCAAGTTTAATTCCATTAAAATTAATTCATGAACCAGGGCATTATGACGTATTGCTGACTAGAAGAAAATAGGTATGAATAAAGCCTCTAGACACACTTGACTTACACTTGAACCATGCCCAACATTCAAGTGCTAAACAGAGAACCTTTAAACACTCCACTGAATGAATGAAATTGTTATGTGTTCCATATACACACAGATTTATTAGTGACCCTCTACTAAGAGGAAAATAAAGTTCTTCCTAATTAAATATTGGTTAAGAAACAGTTTATCAAATGATTTTTTCCGTTTTTTTACCTGTGAAATTTTGTAATTAGATGATCCCAGAACCCTTCTTAAAAAATATATACCCTAGCATTTTTTATCTTATTATGTTCAAGAAATAATAAATGATATGTAATTACTATTAAATTAATCACAGTCATCAGTCTACCCTCATTTAAAAACTAAATGTCTTGGTTCAAAATTAGGTGTCGGGCTTTTCCTATGATCTATAGTACTCAGCCCACAGAAAGGCTCAGAAAAGATTCTATGTATAAAATTCAAATTGGTTATTGACAATTCTCCATTCTACAAACTAAACTTCTGTGACCACTTGACTGTTCTATGATTTATAAGGTATGTGCATTATTTTATTAATATCTCTTTAATATTTAAGAATTATGCCCTGGCTGGTGTAGGTCAGTGGATTGAGTGCCAGCTGCAAACCAAAGGGTCGCTGGTTAATTCCCAGTCAGGGCACGTGGCTGGGTTGCAGGCTGGGTCCCCAGTGGGACCATGTGAGAGGCAACCACACATTGGTGTTTCTCTTAATAAATAAATAAAATATTTTAAAAAAGAAATAGCTATATGGCAGGATCATAAATGGTCCACAGTTACACCTAACAATGAAGAAATGCATGTAGAGCGAGACTTAATCGACAATTATAAGATGGGCACCAAGATGTCCAGCCACAGAACCAACTTTATTCCAACTTTCAGTAGTTCAAGTCAGCCACTACTCATTATAATGACAAAAGAGCTGTTTTTAAGAGTAGATTTCTGTGGTCACTGTAGGCTTATTATGTCACCTCTGAATTGCAGAAACAGAGGCCACAGTGGTCCTGGTTTAATCCCTTTTTGGATTTATGAAGGTTTATAATTTCAATTCAATTACCACATGAGCCTGAAAGACATATTGTGTAGGCAAGCCAAGGAGTTCAATGATGTATGAAATCAGTCTATAACTTTCAATAAGATTTCTATTGCATTTATACACATGACAAGCATTCTCCCCCAATTTAGTAATTTTCTCTTAAAAGAAAAACTTCATCATCTCAACTATTCTGTTCTTCTAAGCCAATGGTTCTCTGTTTTTTTGTTTTTCATTTTTTGTGTTTTTTCTTGTAGCGATCTTTAAACATAAAAATGCACAGGTCTCAAACTCAGAGGTCTTAATTTGAGTGATGTGCAGGTAAGGGACATGTCATTAACACATATTATATGACCAGGTTAAAATTAGGACACTATTCCAAATAAGCTCTTCTATACCAAACAATTTAGAGAAAATTTAGAAAAGCCTATCAAATATTGAGATATAGGCTTTGTTTCTCATCACCTTGTCACAGAATTCCAAGTAATCAGAAAATACAATTTTATCTAATCAGTAATTAATAGATATATAGTTCTGCCTCCATATCAGCTCAACTATGAGAAAACCTGAATTATACATAATGCTAATCACTTGTACTAAAAATGAATATATATTTTAGATATTGAAATGAAAAGTGAAGACACTTTTAAAAATAGCACTGGACCAAAGTATACCACAGGCATTTGCTTCTGGAAGTCTAGCTTCCAGACATTCTAGTGTGCCTACTCTGAAAACAGAAGTGCAGAAGAATCTTTGGATAAAGAAAAAAGCTTTATCCCTGCAACAAATTCTCTAGCTGGGAAAATCAAACATACATCTGAAACAATCAAGCACCTACAAAACAAAAGGTAATATAAACTTCCCTGGGTCAAAATGCTGGCTCAAAAACTGATCAGCTGTGTGAGTGGGGCTGGACCTTATTCTCTTCATGGGAAATGAGGGGATTGAGCTAGATGCTGGCTGAGGCCCTTTTTAGCTCTAAAATTCTGTAAATCTGATTCTGCACAAGATCCAAACAATAGAGCCAAAACTTCATATCCACACTAAATGGTATTTAGAATGAAATAGAGAGAGTAATAGAAAAGCCTTTAGAAGGAATTGGATTTGAGTTAAAATGAACAAGCATGAATTAAGCAAAAGAATCCAAGAAAAAAAATATTTTTAAATTATGAATTTAAATACAATATGTCTTATTCAGAAATGACTATCTTATAGGATCTATACTCTTTATTTTATGTTATTTTTTTCTAAAGAAGGGCATTAATGGTGAGAAGCAATTTTTTTCCAATCTCAATGATTCTTTCTGAAAGAGAATGAGATTCAGGTGAATAAAATTTCCACTTAATTAAAAACTCCATAATATT